ACCAATTCTCACTGCATCATTTGATCTTTTAACGCTCTTTTGGTGACACTTGTTCACCATATTCTATCTTATCCATGAAATAATAAAATTACTTCATATCACTTTTTCGATCCAAAAAAATGAAAAACTTTCTATCATTATTTAGATATGATTTCAACTTTCTGAAATCAATATTTAATCTTATAAGACACTTTCTGAGGTTTCCGCTCTTCATCTTGCCTGGCCAGGGCAAGTGAATTATTATCACCATCAGATTTGTCAGCTATCGATTTACTTTACTTTGACAATTTTTATAATCAATTCCTACTATATCATACAAATCTTATTCTATTAGCAAGACAACATACTCCTTACACTATCGGATCAGAAATTTTCACTTTTAGTTGGCTTGTACACATTTTTAAACCTCATTTGACTTCGGTTTAAGCCTAGAATCGGCTAAACCTTAGCTCTGATATCATTAAATGTAACACCCCCAACTCGTACTCGACCTAAATTCGAGTCTGAGGTGTCACATTGACTTTTCAAAACATTTACTTGTATAAAATAGTGAGTAATTTAAAACTTTTATACCTGTGACTTATTCAAAAGATTTCCAGAACTATTTAGAGCTTAAATGTTTTTGCAAAACCGATCAGAGCATATACAATTCAAAACATTAATTACATGCCAACTATTTTCAATGTACATAATACATTTAATTCAAGACATATTTTCTGATATGATATTTGGTAAGAAATAACTGACCTGTCTTGCTCCACTTTGCTCTTTACTCTTCTCACTTCTGTAACCTACGTATGAAACAATCACACGCTAAGTCTATGACTTAGTGAGGCAAATAAGCATAAAATATAAATTATAGCTTGTAATCATGCATGCCCAATTACTGTTATCACTCATACCCTTATTCATGTAACAAATCTCTATAACATCTATGCAATATATCATTACATGTAAGAACATATACACACACATATACTCATCACCCATCATTTCCATCATTAGCCTTATTTCGTTATCAATATTATTATCGTTTATATCACTTAATACATATCCTCTTATACCTAGCCTTTTAACCAACATTTGACTCATTTAATCATACAATCCACATATCATCATATAAATCATATAATATCATTCATAGCACAAAAGCATACAAGTCACATGTACTATATATTTGTTGTTATTTCTTTATTAGCCCATGTACACATGTGAGAACTATGGATATGTGAGTCTATAGAGGTTGTGCACTAATGTTGTCACCACAGCTCGTATAAATGCACCGAAGTGCCACGTAGAATTGCACCGAAATACCGCGTAGAATTGCACCGAAGTGCCATATAAAATGTCCCTAAGGACCTCGTAGAAAATTCCTTAAGAATCATATACATATACCAAGGATCAAGTATGTGTCTCAAAAGACATCACACATGTTCCAAGGAATACATATATGTCCCGAAGGACCGCGTAGACCCTCGACTCTTGGCATGCCAGCTATACCTCTAGCTCTTAAGACACATAACATGGGCATTGTCATTTATGTCATTTCACATATTCATATATACACATAGTTCATTTACGCGTATAACATTTTCATATGATTCATATTTACATGTCACATAGCTTATATACTTTCTCACGTAGTCACATAGATCCATGTCATATAACATATATCCAAAGTGCATATAATCACGTATATCATATCATATAGCTTAGATCATTTCTCAGGTATTCATGTAAACATACATATCATATCTTATTCACATATGATCATATATACTTCATATAACACATAGAAACACCTAGAACACTTTCACATAACTTATATAAATTTTCAGAGTCCTTTCATATTACTTGATAACATATATCATATATGTATATAATAACTTATATCATATCATCTACCTTATACTCCATTTCTTTGTATTCCCTTAGATTATATAAATTATGTCGTATTTCTAAACATATATCATTTAATAGTATTTTTATTTATGTATTAATTTAATCTATTTACTTAATTCAATTTCATATATTCATTATAATCTTTTCATATAGCTCCATAGATATTTAGCATATAACTTATCTTACATATTCATATCATCCCTTTATATTCAAGTTTCCTAATTGATATACTATTCCCATTTGATTCTATAATTCAATCTTATTTAGTTCCCTTAACTCTCATTAAATCAAAAAGCTCTATTATACTAATTCTCATAATGGATCATACCACTATGTACTTTTCCAACTCATGTTTCCATTATGCATGTATTGTTACCCATGTTTACCTAGTTCCTATCATTTCTAATGAACTCACTTTCATCATATTTTCCTATTATTACATATTTTATCTCATAACCATGTATTCACATAGTCTTATATTTCATTATCATATGACTTATATTTGTTCTCCTATGACTCTTCATAAACATCTATTTCCATTTCCATACATCTCTTGACTTATCTTCTATATTCCTATAATTTCATAACTTATTTTATATTCTCTCATTAATACTTAATAGTGTTTTTACATAAACCACATAGCACATACAAAAACATATCAATTCATATAATCAAACATACATACACTTCATATTGTTAACATACTTATAATCAAGACTTAATGAGCTATTACTATAGGAAATAAACTTATCACAAGTCCAATTTCCATATAATCTTATACAAATAAGATGCACTCACCTTGGCCTCACTAAGTTCCAATCCAATTTTATGATTTTCTCTCTTTCGATCGAATCTTAACTCGATAATCGTTCCGAAACTTGTTCATGTTCGATATCTACATAATCATACATTGATACATATCAGTATCCCATTGATATACTCTAATCTATCATTTCTTAGATCAAAATAAATGTCTATTTCAATTTCCCCTTGAAGTTTATCGATGCATTCTACAGTGCATCGATGCATTCTTTAACATGTGCATCGATGCACTACCCATGCATCGATACACAAATTACATTCGATGTTTTCATTTTAAGGGGATGCATTGATGCACTCCTTATGCATCGATGCACCAATTGCATTCGATGTTTCCATTTTAAGAGGTGCATCGATGCACTTCCTATGCATCGATACACACTGAACAATTTCTGGAAATTTACCCTTGATGCATCGGTACACATTGAATGTGCATCGATGCACATAGCCCAGAATTCATTTTTATGCCCGAAAATCCACTCTTTTCAGCTTAATAACTTCATATACCATCCTCTTTCTTATTCTTAACTTACAGACTCATATTCAAGCTCATTTCTATTCATTAATCACCTTTTTAACATCAAAATTCTATTCTCTATGTGTAATTCAAGAATTACACTAAATTTTCAACATGTTCCAAATTCAATTTTATTGCTTCTAACTTCTTAATTAGACCATTGACAAGTCAATTCCATCTTTAGAACTTCAAAAACATTTCTATAACAAAATTTCATTTCTACACCCTTCATATAATTTTCTTTTTAATTCTCTATTCTTGATGTTTAAAGCTTATATAAGCTTTCCTTAAGATTATATAATACTTAAAGAATCAAAATCAGCTTATAAATCCAAGAATTAAACACCTGAAATTAAACTCACCTTTAACTGAGGCTTATGAGGAGAAGAAGAAGCTGGAGAAGAAGACTCTAGATAGATTTCCTCATTCTCACGTTTTTATATTCCTTAAAAAAGAGAGAATAAAAATCTTCTCTGAGAAAAGACCATAATAACCTTGTTACTTTCCAACTTTACTATTAAATCCATGAACTTTTAACTTATTTCGAAATCAAGCACATAGTTTTCAAAATTTGCAATTTAGTCACGGACCCTGAATTTCAGGATGTTACAGGGTATTCTACAAATAAGTGGAAGGCATTAATTGATGTTTAGGAATTTTTATTTTTTTAATTAAGTTTAGAAGCATGAAAAAGATGTGTTAGACTTGTAAGAATATGATTAAAAGACTCAAGATGCTTATAATGAGTTGATGTTTTTAATGGGTAAATAATATTTGTGGTCACTTATTTTCTAGTGTGTTCAATTTTGATTACTGATTTTTAAAAAGTTTGATTTTGGTCACTTTTGTTTACAATTCGTCTTAGTTAGGTCAATCTCCCGTTACTTTGCTGATGTGGCACGCTAGTAAAAACGATTAAAGTTTTAACATGATCTTTGAATTTTAGATAAAATATTAATTTGATATTAAATTTACATAAAATATTATTTTAACCTCTAAACTTTATATAAAATGTCAATTTGATTCAATTTGACTCCTGAGTTCAGTTAAAGTTCACGTCACTAATCATCACTCATTACCATCACCGATCCGTCATCGAATGTTGTCGTCGTTAATAATCATTGTATCTTAAAATTTCTAATTCATCACTTTGGTGAATTTGATATTTTTTACCAAAAATAAAAATAGAATAATGTCATATAAGAGATACATTTTATAAAATATTGATATGAGAAGCACGAACAAAGTTACCTTAGTGAATAAAAATATGATTGTTAACTTTTTATCCCTAGATGTCCTAAGATTGAGGATCATAAACTGTAAAAGTGTTAGGTTTTCATTGTCAAATTATTGAGAATATTTAGAACAAATATTACATTGTAATTATTCTAGATAAATTAAAAAAAATTGATGTGAGAATACATCTTTATTTTATATAACATACATGAATATCATCTCTTTATATATTTTTTATGGTATTCCTTTAATACATTAATTAATGGAATGCTATTATTAGGGTAAAAAAAGCCCTATGTGAAAAATAATTTTTAAAATGTTTTTTTAAGTGAAAAGCCAATTTCTGCTCGCTTGTAATCATAACCATTTCCTTTTGTTACAATTGAGAGAGCTGGTTTTTGTCATAAATGAGATGAAAGTGTTGCAGTTATCATGGCGGCGTTGCAGGGGCTTTAATTCCCTGCGTTATTGCTTGGAATTGAAGGTAGAGAGAAAAATGAACCATAAGCTAATGGAAACATTGTTTTATCCTAAAAGCAAATATCAATCTTAAGCTATTTTAACCCTAAAAAGCTGCAAGAAAAAATACCTCAAAAGATCCAGATAATTGAACAAACAACAACAGGCTCTTCAACTCAAAACTCTAGTCATTCAGGGTTCGGGTTTCTGGGGGGATCGGTCAGTGTCAAGAACACAGCCAGAAAACAACAACAACAAAGATCATGTCAAAAAACAGAACCCAACAAACACTCACAGGCCAACAGTGGTTTCTAAAAACCTACCAGAAAATATGGTTTTACAGTTGCCACCCATAAAGACCCTAACCAGCTCATCAAACTAGTGGTCTCGGGGTGTGGGGGATACTAAATAGGGTAATTCTGCTGTGGTTTTTTGGTTCAATTTGGGGTTTGTTTCAACTTTTGGGTGTAACAAATGGCTGGCTTTTTCCATCTAGGTGGACGAGAAGCAGCAGACACTGGAAATGAACAAGGAGAAGACAAAGACGAGAGCCTGTATTTGTATAAGAACGATGAGATCTACAACAAGGGTTTCGAGATATGGCCGCAGCAGTTTTATTATCAACAGCAGCCGAACGTGACCGACATCTCGTTTGGAGCGGGTCCGAGTCGAGTAAAAGCTAGTGGGTTTAACTTGTCCGATGAGTCGTCTTCGAGATCAGTAGGGTTTACTGTTATGAAACATGGAGGGATGAATTGCCAGGATTGTGGAAACCAAGCTAAGAAAGACTGTGCTCACTTGAGATGTAGGGCTTGTTGTAAGAACAGAGGGTTTCAGTGTCAAACGCACGTTAAGAGCACTTGGGTTCCCGCTGCCAAAAGGCGAGAGCGGCAACAAAAACAACTCGCCGCTTTGAATCAAAACCAGCAGCAAGAAGAACAACAGTTTCGAGGGGAGAAACCGAAAAGGCTTAGAGAGAATCGTGGTTCTCCCTCTTCATCAGGTAATATTATAATTTGACATATAAACAAAGACGACGTTTAATTTGGTAACTGGTAAGATTTTAATGATTTGCCATGACTTCCAGCAGTCATAGACTCATAGTACCCAATAAGATTGTTCTGTAAACGATTGAGCGAGTTTCATCTTCTCCATGGTCATCAAGCTACCTGCTTTCCCACTATATTTGTCTTCTTCTTCTTTTCATATATCTTAGTAGTTTGTTTATCTTTTAGTATTAACTTGAAAATTAGGGTTGGAACTGGGTAAATTCCCTCATGAAGTGAGTTCTCCATCAGTGTTCCGCTTTGTGAAAGTAAGTGCTGTGGACGATGAAGATGAGGAGTTAGCTTACCAAACGGCGGTGAACATCGCAGGGCATGTGTTCAAAGGAATTCTCTACGATCAAGGCCCCGAAAATCTTTACACCAGCGGCGGCGAAACCTCTCACTCTCAGCAACTCAATCTTCCCGCGGCAACTACCACCGCTGAAACTGCTGGAATGACGAAAACAACAGCCGCTGCCACTTCGAGTCATCCGGTAACAAGTATGTCCGATCCTTCTGTTCATCCAACTTCACTTAGCGCTTTCATTGCTGGTACGCCATTCTTCCCACCCCCAAGGTCATGATTTACAGGCCTAGCTATCTCAACAGAAACTTCCATTGTTGATCTGTAGCTTTCAGTGTTATTCATCGTCATTGTTGAAGCATAGAATTTGCATGACAGATGCTGCATATGATTCTGGTTTCGGGATGTTTACTTTTCTTTCGTTTTTTTTCCTTCCTAATTTCAAATCAGAGTTTCAGTGTTTGGTTTTCAGTATGTGGATGTGTACCTTTTGTCATTTTTATTATAATTTGTGACTTTGATTAACCTTTGAATCTGCTTTTCGATCGGTGTTGAGCTCGAAGCCAACTTTTCCCATTTATCCGTTTTCTTTCCGGATCAAAATGGGGCGAGAAAATCTGCTTTCATGTTCGGCTTAACAAAGAATATTTTTCTAGAAACCATTTTTAATGCATTAATAGGCAAATGGAAGACCCCTCCATTGACAAAGTTTCTTTCTTTCTACAAAGTAAATATATGTTCAAAATACTTAATTATTTGATAATAAATATTCAAATACTCTTTTAAAAATCGTGTTCAAATTCATAATTTTTAAAAATAATAATGATTTACGTATGGGGTTGCTTATTTGTACTACGTAAACATATAAATTCATCGGTTTTTTAGGCCATTTAAATCGCGGTTGAAAAGATAAACAAGGGAAATCAAATTCAGCAAGTTTGAATTGACGTGCGTACATGAATGTGATGTGATCCTTTGGTAGAATATGGGAACCATTAGCCGATGATTCTTAATGCATCTCTGAGTATATGGGCATGTGATTCATGTTACATATAGTGTAATACTGGTGATTATCTAGAGAGATGCTTCTGTTTGCAGGCTTCTATATATAGTTACCGCATTGAGAAGAAAACAGAAAGATTATGGAACTTAATTTCCATAGTTTTTATTTTATATTAATTCCCAACTTAGAACATGTTGCTCTGACCATCTTCAATCATGTACATTGTTGTTCCCTGAAGGTCTTAACTGATGAAACTCTTTCTGATTTCGGCACCTTTTAATTTTATTTTCATTTGGAGTAATGAAACTATTTAGGGATGAAGGTGACAAGTAGGAACAACAGACTTACATTGTTGGAAAAATAAACTAGTAGGGTTTAAGAAATTATATCTTATTGAACTCGGAATTTAACTCAATTCATCTTAAACGTATCAGATTGATTATAACAACAAGGAGTGTAATCATTAAACCATTAAGATGGATAGTGGTGGAATAGAATAAGCATCCCAATTATTGAACCGACAGGAGAAAAAGAGAGTAGGTTGTTCCCCTATTTATGCTTACAAAGTGGTTGAAAAATAAAAGGAAAAGCAACAACAAAGGTGTCCAGAATAATTGTAGTGTTAGGGTTTCCGGTAACATGCAGGCTGCAGTCAAGGGTTGGGAAACTAAGACTTTTGCCGCATGACCGTTGCCGCCGCGTTTCAATCTACCGCTAGCTTCTGTTGCATATTTAATTTCAGTTAATCTATCTATCTAATAAACTTATAAATTCAATTTATCTAACCATCTAAAATACTTGTAAAACTTTTAAGTTTTATGATACATAATTAGATCCTAACTTTTATATATATATATATATATATATATATATTGTTAATATTTAATAAAACTTAAAAGTTTTATACATATTTTTAGATTATTGGACTAACCTAATTTAATGACTAAAGTTGTTTTTTTAAATAAACATAATTCACTTTTTTGTATTTAAAAATATTCATTTTCTACATTTAATCATACAACGTCACCCAACCTGAAACAACAGTGGATTTAGAATGTCACATTGAACTTTACAAATAATCCAACATTCAGACCATAAATACTTTCGATATACAGACATTGTTTTAATCATCCATGAACAAATCATTTCCTAAACTTACAAAATAAAGTGTTTTGATACAAAATTCGAAGCCCCCGACATATATTTAATATTTGAAACCAAAACAATAAAAATATAACGACTTAAATACAAGATTAGAAATGTACTTTGAATAAGACATGCTATAGATTCTTCACTGACGGTGCTCCTCTGACACTAGTAATATTTACTAATATGTGAACAAAAATAATTATAAACGTTGAGCTTTGTAAGCTTAGTAATACACATTTACTCTATTATAATTTATGCGAGTAATAAATATAAACATGAAAACAAACATAACACAGTGTATTAAATAAGTATTTATAGCATATATCTTAGCATGTATTTTGTTACTTGAAACAATCATCATTCCATTTCATACTTTAGTAATTTAGTCTCATCCGACATTTCATTTAATAGAACTACTCTATCAGAATGTCAACGATGTATATCATACACATAATTGTTCATATCTATTTATTAAAGAAATTATTTTTAAAAACAATTTGTTAAATAAAATATAATTACTTGAAACAATTTGTGTAACATGACTATATATATATATATAATAACACTCATCAAACATATCTTTAAAAATAAAATATAATCAAACCATTTTATTGTTATAAAAAATATTTAAAATACTCATCAAAACTACATGAGCGGATTTGATATTTAAGCCTTTTCTTTATTTCATTTGAGTGTAATATAGAAACATAAAGGCTTATTTTAAAAATAGGCCCCTTTAATTGTACCCAAAATCAATTGAGCCTTTTATGAAAAACCATGAACATATGAATTCTTATTTAAAAATCATAAAACATATATTTTCAGTGTTTAATGCAATTTCATGAATTTATTTAATCATGATTTTTTTAAATAAAAACTCATTTGATCAATGATTCACATTAGATATTTATTTGATTTTTTATACAATTAGTGGGTTTTATTTTATATATAATCCAAATGGAAATTATAATTTAACTTTTTTATTATTATATATTTTGAGATTAAATTTTTAAAATTAGAGTTGTATAATAAATTAGTCCATATTAAATTAGGTGATAATTAAATAAACTCCAAATTGAAATATTATTTCAATTAAAATTTATTTAAAAAATCTTAGCCAATTTATTACATAAACTTTAAATTCACTTTCAAATAAAAAATCAATGCAATATCTTCTAACTGTTGTATAAATTAATAAAATTAATAAATTACAAATAATCAGAAAATAACTTGGCAAACTTAACTACAGTCAATACGGTCTAGAATTATTTTAGAATTTTTATGTTTTTATAAATTATTAAATTTATTTACAATTTAAAATACTTTATTATTATTTTTTATTTTTAATAATCTTAAAAATAAATCATAAATAATTAAATGTTAATACGTCAACAAAGTTAGTGTGATAAGAACAATTGTAATTTAAAAAAATCATTTAATCAGAATTTAAGATTTAAGCTTTTTTTTAATCATAACACTTAAACTTAAGATTTAAGAACGTTTAATGTTAAATGATTAAAAATTATCTTTAAACATATATTATTTTATTATTAACCATATTAATAATAATAAAATAATAATAAAAGAAAGCTTAATTAAAATAAGAGGAGGCGAATTACCTTAAAACGACGTTGTATCGAGAATTTCAATTTTTCTGCCATTTTCAACTTTCCTTACCGCCCACTCCAAAAAACAAGCGCGTGATAGTGACGGTGAAACGTAAACATTATTATAAACGGGAAAAAGGAAATAAAGAAGAAGAATACGAACACGGCAGCCCAACATCCGCATTCACCAGTAGTCGTGAGTCGCCTGAGGATCGTTCTCCGGCGAATTTTCTCCGGCTACGAATTTTTGTGTACATTAATCACGCTTTTTTTTATGTAGATTTGTTTTTAAAATAAAATTAATAATAAATTTTAAAGAATATCTTAGATTTTATAATAATACTGGGAGAGGGAACACAGCGTCCGACGATGGATCTGCTGAGGTCGGAGCCAATGCAATTGGTGCAACTCATCATCCCGGTTGAATCAGCTCATCGCTCCATTTCTTATCTTGGTGATCTCGGCCTCTTTCAATTCAAAGACGTTAGTTTTCCAATTCATTGACTTTTTCTTTTTCTTTTTTGAATTTTGAATTATCGTTGAAAAATCTTTAGATTTAGATTTAATGTTTTTACGTCCACTTTTTTTTTAATTCTTTTTCTTGCAGCTTAATTCAGAGAAGAGCCCGTTCCAACGAACATATGCTACACAGGTCAACCTCTATATTTTACAATTTTAATTTATTTTTCCATGAGATTCTTCCCTCAAATGGACGTTTTGGATCCTGATTTGAAATCTTAATTTTTGTAGAATTTACATATTTGGAATTAAAAGATAAATTTGGGAATTTAGTTGAATGTTAGATAAGAAACTCTACCTAGATAGTAGATATAAATTCATTGTGATCTCATTAAATCTTCTAAATACTTGAGATATATGCTTACTTATTGTTAATTTTATTAAATTTAATGTCCTTTAATATGTTGTTATATCTTGCAGATCAAGAGATGCGGGGAAATGGCACGCAAGCTACGGTTTTTCAAGGAACAGATGATGAAGGCTGGTTTATCACCCTCTGTCAGATCTGTAATAAGTGATGATGTTGAATTAGATAACTTAGAGGTAATAATGGATCCTTCGGTTTTAACGTTTTGTTTTTTTTATAGGGAAACACAACTTTATATGTGGTATTTCTAGGTGAAACTTGGAGAGCTTGAAACCGAGTTGATAGAGATGAATGCAAATCATGAGAAGTTGCAACATAGTTATAATGAGCTAATAGAATATAAGTTCGTTGTCCAGAAGGTATGCTGACATTTCTTGCATTTTTCTGGTTATTAAGGCTTTATTAGTGAATATTTTTGTTACCTTTTCTGTACAATGGGCTTGTCACCTTTCTTTAGGCAGTCGACATGAAAATTTTTGATTACTGGTTTCCATATAATTGAATTATCAACTTGCTTAGTAACTTAAACAAGGAGCCTTGTGAGTGCGAAATGATTGATCTTAGTGGTATTGTTTTCTTATTTCAGGCAGGTGAGTTTTTTCACTCAGCTCAGAACAGTGCTGCAGCTAAACAGAAAGAAGTTGAAGTTCAGCAAAGGGGTGAAGGATCCATTGACAGTCCGTTATTATTGGAGCAAGTATATTTTCAGCTGATTCATCATTTTCTATATTAGTTTTATCTGATTCCTTTTATTCCTGTTTACTGACGCATGTGGTGTTTAT